TACCGTCTGTCGAATGTATGTAAAATATACATTTATCTTTCCCTACGGCATATTTCACTATGTAGAATACAGTTTTATATTAAAATGGTCTGAGCATTTCTTTCATGTTTTAATTTTTTATGAAGCTCTAATAACTTTATTTTTCTGAATTATGGAATTATTTTTTATCTTCAACCTACTTTCTTATCATTAAATCTTTTTTTACCAACAGATTTTTCTTTGTCTGCCAAGGCATAACTTACAGTAATGAACTGGTGTAAACTCTGCAAAATTCGACTCAACCAAGAAAAATCACAACATATTACTTTGACTCTTCGACGTGAACCTTGCGCTACTATTTACCTCGACAATGTCCAAATCCCTCGGAAAGATAAAATTCAATATCTTGGATTGATATTCGATAGAAGAATGGCATGGGGCTCACATATCAAGAAACAAAAAAAACACTAAGCCAAAGACTACGACTGCTTTATTCACTCCTTTCAAGCCATTCAAAATTAAAACTTAGTCAAAAATTAAATAGATACACTTATTTACTTAAGCCCATTCGAACCAGAACTTTTTACAGACTTTTCAATCAAAAACTTTCAGAACTATCAACAAGGCTCCCTGGTACATCAGTAACATTACTTTTCATAAAGACCTACAGATGCCATCTGTTAATGACCACATACGAACATACTACAAAATAATGAAGAGAAGAATAGTTGGGGTGATCAGTCAAATAAGAAGGCTAAAATAAATGATAATATTTATTTCGACATTTGCCGACGTTTCGATCTGAAGTTCAGGCCATCATCAGGGCTAAGAAAAGAACCAGATAACAAGGTATGAGAAACATAAAAATTAAAGTAAAATGCAGTTGTTAGAATAATGACAATAGTAAGAAAAAGAGATAAATAATGATAACCGGTACAAAGTGTGGAATGATGAGGTAAACATAATCAAAAAGGTGACATAAGTATTAAAATGGGAATCTTAGAATAAAATGTAAAACAGAAATTCATCATTCTTCATTATTCACGACAGTCAACTATTTCCTCATAATTATACTACAAAAGATTTTACAATAACTTACACGGACATATCACTGGTTCGAGGCATGGCCACAACCAACATCCCCGATGACACCCGTAGGAGGCTCAAAAGAACCATAAAATCAAATTAGGAAGGGACACCGCGGGGCACTCCTTTCCCTCAGGCCTCTACCAACGTCTTAATCTACGTTTTTCTTTCCGATAGCACACTCTCTGGTTGTTGGTATTCCCAACAGGGGTAAGTTTAAAAAATTTAGTTTAAAAAAATTTTTAATCTAATATTAATAATTAAAATCCTCAGTAGTTAGTGAAAACTAACATTTGTACTTAATATATTAAAAAAACAATCAGTAAAAAAACAACTGTATTTTGTTTTGTTTTTCATTTAATTGTGATGATTCGTGCTTGTTTAACATTAGTCAAAGCTTTAATTTTTTGTTACATTAGTAAAGCTTAATTTTCAAAATTAGCTTCTATGATTAAAAAGAGAGTGAGTTTAATTTCATTTAGGAACAGGTTTTAATGGAACAGCAGAGCACGTTTTGATGTTCGTTCTACTTTATACCAATACACGCTATTAGAGGAATCAAGTTTCTTTTTTTTATGATATAATTACTAATTTACTGCTGTACTAGTCCTTTTTTTAAATTAAAAAAAGTATTTTAATTCCTTAAATTTGATTAAGTCCAGGAGTGCTCATATAAAAGCAAGGTGTAGATTCGGCATTGGCATGTGGTTGGTTCATAAGTACTTAAATTTATATTCTTAATTATATTATTTTTTAAAAAATCAGTTTTTCTTTTAGGGATTAGCGTCTACTTTACAGACTGCATGATTGATGTAGGTGACAAAGTTACTATTCCATTATGATGAACGCACAAGTTATCGACAGAAGGCTCAGAGATTTTTAATATAAATAATAAATTTCCTAATGATGTAGAGACCTGCAATGAATGAAGACCTGTAAAGTGGGTCGAACGTCGGCAAAAAAATTAAATAATACTATTTGTATAATTTAGTATTTATTTGACCGCAACCCCCGATCAACTCCTTCTCAATAAATTTCCTAGCTGATATAAAGGTTCCAGTTTTTTTTAGATTGAAGACTAATGCCCTCTATTGACAATTGTATAAACGAAGATCACTAAAGAAAATTTTAAAATGCCTATCTTTGTTGTTTCTATAGTGCTCTTTAGAACAGTGTATTTCATAGCTTATTACTAGCAGTTTTCCTAAGATTAAGATGAGCATTTATGTTGTCTTGTCTTTATAGTTTAATAAAAATTTAGAATTTTTCTGAGCTCTGTCCACTACTGGTACTCCCTACTAGGACAATTGAAGTTTGGGGTGTACATCACTAGTGCAAAAAGGTGTTGTTTTTAAAAATGAAGTTTATAACTGCATAACTGAATATTTTTTCAATTTAAAGTTCTAAATAGAAAAAGAGAGAGATTCTAAATGTCCAATGAAGAAGTTTATAACTATAATCATTACAGCGGCATAGCCCAAAAAAAAAAAAAATTCCTTAGCTATGTCAATCACTGCTATTAAAATAAGCCTCCTGGGCTTACCCAGCCTCTATAAAGTGGGTACTGTTAATTAATTAATTAAGGGGAAAAACCTGGCGATTGGACGTGAAGCTGGCCGGATCACCTCAATACACCACTGTTGGCTAGTTTTGGCTAGTGACTAGTGCCCAAATGCGAGACAAAGACGAGTCTTGGTCTTGCAAACTCAGTCTTGGCCATGGTCTTGGTCTTGCACAAGAGCCTTGCAACAGTCTTGCAGTTTCTTATTAGCTTGTTATTATAGAGATATTACTATATTTTTTAGATAGGAGAAACTAAGCACGATTGAAAAATTAGAGGAGTTAAAAGTATATTGGTTATACCAATTATTAACATATAGTAACTAAGATTCTCAAGTATTAGTAACTATTTTGCCTTAAATTTTATTTAATAAATCGATTTTTTTAACCAGTCCTAGTCTTGGTCTTGCAACAGTTTGGCGGCGTTGGTCTTTGTCTTGCTAAGACCAAGACCAATTTTGGGCAACACTACTGTTGGCCTTCAGTCAGAACTTCCTAAAAAAGTACTGAAAAAAAAAACCTTCAAGGGTGGTAATCGTTACAGGTTAATTGTTACTCTGTAGATGTAATGAAATTGAAGGGAGGGATTTGTGGTACACCTCGACATGGGTGAACTCTTGATCGTGGAAAGCTTTACAGGTAGGTTGGGTCTCTCTGCTTTAATCTCTATTTTTTTTTTTTAACATTAAAATGATTGGACTCAAAAAAAGTAATCAGAATATATCCAGAGAAGAACAAGCAAAAAAAAAAAAAAAAAACGTGTTTGCTTGAGGGCAACAATAGAAGTGAAAACGTGAACGAGGTGGGATCGATAATATGAAATGTATTTTTTTTTTTTTTTTGGTCTCTATTCACGAAGTGTTAACATTATAATTAAAATTGTGTTTTAATGACGGTTTTTTTAATCTTTTTTACAATTTTAATACGAAATATTAACTTACTTACTCCATTGCGCTACAGCCCTTTTGAAAACAACAAATCATATCTCACGAAATGGGATTCTCTTCCAGATCAATGTCTCGTATGATAAAAAGTGACCTTAGGATGCGTTAGAGTGGATTGATGCAAAGTGCTCCTTGGCCGTTACACCAATGTACTTCATGAAAAGATTTAGTTATACCCATACCGTACCTTAATCAGAATGTGATAAGAATCTACATCTGCGCCTCGATAACTTCTCACATCCGAGATATCTGAGCTATGCCTAACATCTATGAGAACATGGTCAATTTGATTTTTTATCTTCCCATCTGGGGATATCCAAATTTCCATATGAATCTCTTTGTGTGGGAAATGTGTGCTCTTAATTGCCATATCATATTCCATGGCGAAATCGATAATTGTATGGTCCAATTGTGGGCCTAAACGCCAACTCTTTATGGACCTTGGCATTCATATCTGCCATAATTATTTTTACATCATGTTCAGGCAGCAAATCATATTCTCTGGAGAGCGTATCATAAAAATTATCTTTATTCTCATTCTCGCTATCGTCTATTGGTGCATGTACATTTATCATAGATGTTTTAAAGAACCTCCCTTTTAAAAGGAGCACACATAATCTTTCATTAACAATTTTAAAGTTCAATTCAAGTATCCACAATTTATAATCGTATACGTCTTAAGGTCCATTATCTCTGTTTTTCCCATTTTATTTCTTGCAGTGCGGCTATATCAACATTTTATTTCTCCAGAACTTTCTCCAAGTTCTTGCTTGTACCAGCTTGAGCCATTCCCAAAACATTCCACTTCGCTATTAAATCCAGCCTGCTTTTCTTTGTATCTGGTTTCATAATTACCCTTTTCCGGGATAGGGGCGTCGACCCTATGCCCAACCTCTAGCCTGGAGTGCGGGGATTTTTTATCAGGGTTTAATCCCTTAGCCTTTGAACTTTCGTTCTTATCCACACGTCATTTCTGGAGGTGTTACCTGGCTTTTGAGGTTACTGTGATTAATTGCGATCTACTAAAGAGCTATCTTTTGAGGCAGTGTTTTGTGTTTTCGTTTTGTTCTAATTGTTCATAGCCATCTTATTGTTTTCTAGTGTTTTATCATGTTTTTTATTGTTGTTATTAGTTGTAAGTGTAAATAGTGTACATAGATTGAAGTTTGGACAGGAGAGGTTAAGTCGTATAAATTTCGTGAAGGAGTTCTTGTTTGAAAAAATTTGAGTTCCGAGTGTTATATTGAGTAGAAGATCTCTAAAAGACCTTTCCAGGGAGCACAAAGAAATTAACTTTACTGAATCTGTGTAAAAAAAATAAATTTGTAAGTATAACCTGTTTATGTGATAAGAAATATTATTACTGTTACTATTTAAGTTATTAAGTGTCTACTCTTTAAAGACTTGTCCAGGAGTAATATTATAGACAACATGGAGGGAGATGAAAGGGAAGAAGGGAACCCTCCAAGGGTTTCACGTTCAACCGCAAAAAGGGCGAGAAAGATTTCTCTTGTTGATAACGCAGAAGCTTCTGAGGTAGGAATCTCAAATGACTTCCTTCAAAAAGCAAAGATAATTCAAGAAAACCTCCGAATATACCTAACTAAAGCTGACAAAAGTATTAAAAATAAGGACCAAAACCACATTAATGGCAAAATACAGTGGTTCATTGACGCTATTGAATTGTTGGAGGAAAGGACAAAGCAGTACAAAGATAAGAGTGAGGGTTTATCTTTACTTGTCCATAAAGCGGTTCAGGAAACACTTACCTCGCCTTCAGTACATTCGATGATAACAAGCATCGTAATAGAGAAAACAGTGCCGAAGGTTATAGAATCTCTCTCAGGAACCACTATGAAATCTAATGGTCCCCTCGCCATCCCTGGAAAAACCAACGAAAAGTCATCCGCGACTAACGTGACCCCGCCTGAGCCTTTACCAGCCGCAGTTCCTTTTACAGTCGTTAAGAGCAAAAGAAACAGGAAAAAGACTAAAAAGTCTACCGGTCCCGAAAGCCTACAAACCGAAAATGAAACGCATAAGACAGAGGCGGAATCTTTGACTGGGTCCGGTCCAAATCAGCCGAAGTCATTGGCCGAAATAGTAAGAAAATTGCCTTTAAAACCTACTCAGTCCCTCAAGCCGGCGTTTATTACTATTAGCGGTACCGGTAAGAGTCCGGTGGACATTATCAATGCCCTGCCTTCCCCCACAGAAATAGGTGTTAAGGCTGAAATTGTTCGAGCAACCAAAGGTGGTTCCGTTTTAGTCCGATTAGAAGACAGTACCCATGCCACTAAAATAATTGGTTGGCAGGGATTACGGGAGAAAGGTTTTCAGGCAAAACTAGCACAAAGAAAGAAACCTAAGATTGAGGTGAGGGGTGTCCCTCACTCATGGGGCTCAGCTGAATTAACGAGATTTTTGTGGGGAAGAATAAACGAGAAGTCAGTCCCTACTACACTCATTAATGATGATATACGGCCATTATTATCCTCAGTATCTAGAAATGGACTAAGTAGGAACTGGGTACTCGAAGTTCACCCAATGGTGAGGTTCCAGCTGTTGGAAATGGCAGCTTTAGATGGAGGATGGTGGTCCATGACGTTTAAGGATTACCTCGACGCCCCTCGTTGCACAAAGTGCCAAGGCTATGGACACACGAAGGCTACCTGTACGGTGGATACCGTTGTATGCATATGGTGTGCAGCCAATGGACACATACTCAAGGACTGTCCAAGGAAGAAGGAACAAACTGGCCCGACTTGTATTAACTGTGTGCGGGCGAGTGCACCGCAAAGCCAAACGAAGCATAAAGCGGGCAGCCGAGAGTGCCCTGTACACTTAAGATGGTCAAACGAGGTGGCTAAGAGGACCTACTATGAATAATATCACCATTCTCCAGCTCAACATGGGCCGTCGTCGCATCGTAGCGGATGAGTTAAGGGCTCTTGTTGGACGTTATGATGTTATGGCGATTCAAGAACCGAGCTGCCGTGGGAACATGGTCACGGGGTTCGGCCTCACATCGAGGGTTATAGCTCTGAGCAGTGGAGAGAGGAGGCCCAGGGCAGCTATAGTGGTAAATAACCCAAACCTCGATGTGATGGATCTGAGGCAGTTTACCACGGCGGATTGTGTCGCATGTTATATCAAATGGGGTAATATTACCTTTACGTTGGTTTCATCATATCTTCCTGACGGAGGTGATATAGACAACGACATATCCGCCATGGAGATGATCACGGCTTGCTATAGAAACATCATCATCTGCTCAGATACCAACTCCTGGAACACGGTCTGGGGATCCAATCAAACGAATAGAAGAGGCGTTAAACTCGGAGAATTCATTGGCCGAAGCCAGCTAGTGGTAATGAATGATCCCTCTGCCTTGCCAACGTTTTCTAGCGCTCGAGGGCAGAGCTGGATTGATGTAACACTGGCATCACCGGTGCTAGCGAGTCGCATCAACGATTGGATCCTCCGATCTGAAACGAGTTCCGACCACCAAGCGATAGCTTTTAAGCTGATGGAAAAAATGGAAAGTTCCCACGGCATCGCTATGGGTTATTAAACCCGAAGGGCAAATTGGAAAGCCTTCCGGTCAACGCTGGAGGAAAAATTAGTAGATGAAGAATGGGATGAAGCGGAGACGGACCAGACAGATAGTCTAGATTATAGGGTCTCTAGGATCACAGATGTCATCCGTGACGCCGCTGAGGAATCCCTCCAGCAACGGAAGGTGAGAGCTCGACCTATCCCATGGTGGACGCCGGCCTTAACTGCTATGAAGAGAGAGCTCTACAAGGCTCGGCGGTCCTATCAAAAGTGTGGTAGTGAGGAGAGGCGCACCACACTTCGCGACGAGTATAGGTCCAAGTCCAGAGCATACCGAAACGAAGTGCGCTCTCGAAAAAGGAAGTCTTGGGACGAGTTCATTATTGAAGAATCGTCCAAGAACCCCTGGGGTATCCCTTACAGAGTTGCCTTGGGTAAGTTAAATCCACAACAGGTAATAGCCGCATTGAAACGCGGAGCTACTCAGGCAACCACTCTGGAGGAGACGGCAAAAACGTTCATTGCGGAAACCTACCCCAGGGATGATCCGTCCCAAGATAATGAAGAGGAGAGATACATTAGACGCACTACGGTATGCCCACCAGGTACGGACCTATGCCCACCATGGGACATATGGGATCTCCGTGCTGCCGTGGATAGGCAAAGGACTGGTCGAGCTCCTGGCTTGGATTCGATAGACACAGCAATACTAAGGAATAGTATCCCCTACATTGAACAAAGGCTGTTAGCATTGTTCAATGATTGCCTAGACAGGGGTTACTTCCCTAAAATATGGAAGATTGCTGATGTTAGACTCCTTTATAAGGGAGGAGATAAGGACAAGCAGTTAGCGAAGTCATATAGGCCTATATGTCTCCTTCCTATAATGAGTAAATTGTTGGAGACCTTGCTGATGAGGAGTCTACGACCAGTCTTCTTAAGGGCTAGCCATCCACGACAGTACGGATGTACTAAAGGTAGGGGAACCGCAGATGCTCTGCTCAGGGTGCGCCGTGACGTTGAAGAGAAGGCGGAGAAGTATGTAATGCTTCTCCTGTTTGATATATCCTCCGCCTTCGATAGCGTTTGGTGGCCGAGTGTACTCCAGCAGTTGCAAAAGTATGAAGCTCCCAGCAACCTGTACGACCTCTTAAGAAGCTATCTAGAAGACCGCAAATTAATGATAAAAGGTAACTTCTTTGCTGTAGAGGATTCTGTAGAAAGAGGATGCCCACAAGGATCTGTACTAGGTCCAGCCTTGTGGAAACTGGTATTTGACGAGCTGCTGGGAGTACTGGAAGAGCAGCGGTTCCCCGCCACTGCTTACGTAGACGATCTCGCAGTCGTGGTGGCATCGAACAGCAGAGCCAGATTAAAGGAAGAGGCTGAACGGTGCGCCAACCTTGTAGGAGAATGGTGCGAGAGAAAGAAGATGAAGATGGCGGCTTCAAAGACTCAGTCCGTTCTTTTGAGGGGTAAGACTGACAGGGCCCACCCTATCACTCTGAATATACAGAGAGAAACGATACGTCCAAGTGAGGCGGTCACCTATCTTGGGATAAGGACTGGAAGAAAGTTTAACTTCACCCCTCACTTGGACTATCTGAGAAGTAGAGTGGCCCTGGCTCTTAATGGACTGAGTCGCATCGGGGGCGCCTTTTGGGGTCTCAGATACCCAGCCACTTTGGCTATTTATAACGGAGTTATCTTGGGTATCCTGAGATATGCGTCCCCTGCGTGGAGTCAGACTCTCTCGCACCAACAGAAGAAAAGGTTGGCGACGATCCAGCGTATGGCTCTGCTGCGTGTCACTAGGGCGTACCGGTCAGTATCTCATGAGGCGGTACAAGTCTTAGCCGGAAGTATTCCAATTGATCTTCAACTTCGTGAAGACTACTTTCGGCACGAAATGAAGAGAGATGGCTTGGTGGATCTACCGGCTAATCTCCGAGTGAGGATCAGTGAAGACCCAAGCAGATGGAAGAGGATTCTCCGGGAATGCACATTAGAAGAATGGAACCGGCGTTGGGTGACAACGCCAAAAGGATCAACCCTAAGGAAATACTTCCCCACCGTCGGTTCAAGAATGGAAACTACATGGCTCCTCCCGGACTATTGGGTCTCGCAATTCCTCACGGGGCATGGGGGATTCCGAGCAAAGCTTGTTCAACATGGTAAGAACATTGATCCCCTATGCCCAAGTTGTAGGGTACCGGAGACCGCCGAGCACGTCTTATTAGCCTGTACTGCCTATGAGGCATTGAGGGCTAAGTTGCTGAGGGAGACTGGGCTCTATGTCTTATCAGAGCGCGATCTCCCTCAGCTAGTGACCAGAGAGAACTACCCGCACTACAAGGCCTTTGTGTACGGGTGGAAAGATATCATTGGCCCAGCCCACTTCTATTTGGGTAGAAGAGAAGAAGCTCCACCACAGAGGATGGAAGAGCCAAGCTAAACAGAAAATCTTATTGTATCGATTGCAGTATTGGCTAGTTATGCACACACGTCTAGCTATCCAATACTGCAAACACTCGTATTGCCAAACTGGCAGGGCAGAGATTTAAATAAATAAAATAATTATCCACACGTCCGTTGGGGACAGGTATTCCAGGAATAAAAGAAATAGGATGTGAGGGACTATTAGAAAGGGTGAACGATAGGATACGGTAAGAGGTCAACGGTCAGTTGTCCCTTTAGTCGCCTTTTGCGACAAGCGGTGAATACTGTGCGTCTATTCTTACACCGAACCCACAGGGGACGAAACACTAACTACTGCAACATAAAAAATAAAACACTTAATTTATTATTCTTACTGCTAATATATATATATATATATATATATATATATATATATATATATATATATATATATATATATTAAAAAAAAAAAAAAACCTGTCCCATACAACCCGTGAAGGGTCTTTGGGTTCAGTACTATGTGAGAAAGTACTGTTACGAGGTCAACAGCTGTACAGGAAGGTGATTGGGCCAATATCCCGCTCAATCGACAGATGTTCCTCCTTGGGGCGGGGTGGACGAATGGGATAACGTGCACCGCGAGTTTGCTCGGCAACCAGAGTTGTGAGATATAAACAATAAAAAAAATGTTTTTGTGTTCCCCCTTAATTAATTATTTTTAATTAACAGTACCCGCTTTATAGAGTCTGGGTGTGCCCCAGGAGGGTCTACCAACTCCAGGTTCGATCCACGGCTAATGAATTACTAGTCATCAGCTGGATTCGAAGCTGGGACCCTTAACTATGACAGCTGTCACCACTGATCCCGGACTAAATGGGGAAGGTAAGAAAGAGCACTAGGCTTGGTCTCTCACTAACTTACTCTTTAGCAATCAGCTAAAGCTAGAGGTTAGAAATTCGTCAAAATTTATTGAATTCTCATTGAAAATTTATTACCCTTCTCATATGAGATTTTACCAGACAAATGTCAAGTGTGCTGAAACTTGGGTTTACTGGCAAAATTCTAATACTCGTGTGCAATGGCTAGATAGCGGTCAAACTGCTTTTCAGGTTGCTGCAAGAGTGGATTTAAAAAAAAAATCCATATTTCTCGTTTGTTTTTTTTAAATTTGAAGGTGTTATTCATCACGAATTTGTTCCTGATGATTGCTCTATGCATTCTAAGCTCTACTGCGTACAACTGATAAGATTGTACCCAAAGTTGTCTGAGCGTTATTCTACTTAGATCAATTTTATTCCAACAAGATAATGCTCGTCCTCACACTTCTCATTGAACCAAAGAAAAGTTTGCGAAACTTCATGGGTTTGAACTCCTTCCTCACACACCATACAGTTCAGACCTCGCACCATCAGCTAACTACTTATTTAGATCAATGGCCCATTTCCTTCAAATGAAAAACTTTGAACATTTTGCGGCCTAAAAGTTCTTCGCCAGACATCCCAAAGAATGTTATTAGCGTGGGATCAAGCAATTGGCTAGCAGGTGACTAATGACGGTAGATAACAATGGACTATGCTTTGAGTATTAGTTGTATTTTATATCAAAGAAGTAATAATACAAACATTTAGTTGAAAAACAGTTATTTTTACTATACACTCTATTATTTATAATCTACATTTCATATAGATGTAGAGATGGTTGACCGTGATATAATATGAGAAGGAAAAAAAATCTTTTTATTTTTTAACTTTTGGTCTCGTTATCTGTTTACCTACACTTATCAAGTGTAACCTTCACTAGCTTGTTATCCACTGATATCTTATTATTACGTTACCTAATTTTATTATATGCTTTACAGGATCATCCATTATTCATTTTTCAATTTCTATATTCGTCAAAACTCTTTTTATTTATATGTTAACCTACAGTTATCAAATTTTATATTTACCAGTTTGTTATATTGTCATTTCTTATCTTTTATCACAATATGTTTACTTTTAACTTACATGCTATTTTCTCCTTTTTTTTTTTCTATTTTTATTCACACTTATTTTCTATTTTTGTTTGTATCTTATATATATATATATATATATATATATATATATATATATTATATATATATATATATATATATATATATATAATACTTGATATTTTAACAACACTGTCTCCCACTATATCTGTGATGTCATCTTATTATTTCTTTATCATACAAATGTTTCTTATTTAATATCTACTTATAATAATTCATTTATTTTATTTTCACCATGTACCTTTTATATTTTGTATCTTTTGAAGCCCTGATGAATACCTACAACGTGGGTCAAAATGTTGGCGAAACAATTAAAAATACTATTTTTTAAAAATTTAGTATTTATTTGATCGCACCCTCCAATCAACTCCTTCTTATATTTCATATAATTAATTTCGTCGTTTTCACTTCTATCGTGTGATCTAAGGCACATACCTTAGTTTTTTATTTTATGTAACTCCCGGTGAGGTGGAAGTGGAAATGATATGTTGAGATAAATAACAACATTTTGCAGCGATGTAGAACTGACACACGTGGCCGTGCACTACTCTGGATTACTTCTTATCAACACTCAGTCCTCTATTGCTGGTCGTCACTACCAACATGGTCGGTGTCTCCAGTCCTAATTGTCACTGATCTTCATACTTATGATAGACATCTGATCAAAGCACAATAAATAACACGAATCAATAAATATTGTAATACTGAGAACTTTTTGATATTTTTAATATAAAAAAAAATGTCAAATAATAAATATTATCAGCTTGTTCCGCCGGTTGAACACATTCATTTTCTCATTTTTGATATGAAAACTTCTTTAGGCGCGTTTAGCACTTTTTTTTCAGGAGACTGAATAAGATTGAGTCGACAGATCTCCGATATATAACGCAGGAGTAAAGTCGTTTGCAGTTGACTAATTGAAGTGTTTCTGCAACAGGATTAAAATATCTCAGAAACTAAAAATCGGACCTGCATACTGTAAGTAAGGAAATTGTTCAGCATTTCATCCAATCGTTAATGGACTATTATTCAAAATTGTATCTTAACGCGGCGCCGTGTTAGAGGTTAAAAGAAAAAAATAGTGTCGAAAACCAAATGATGACAATTTTTATTGAAGATGTGTATTAAAATTTCTTAGAAACTAAAAATCGGAACAGCATACTGTAAGCGAGAGAAATGTTCAGCATTGCATCCTATTTTTAATGTATTATTATTTATAATTTATATTTCATTCTCTCCCTTTATTGATGTTTTCATTTCTATCGTATCGTCTAAAGCACACACCTTAGTTTTTTTTTAATAATATTTTATTTGATTATTTGTTTATTTCTAGCAATGCGGGTCAAGACAAACTTCGTTGAATGCCATCATAATTAATATAAATTTAGCTATGTGCTGCTATGTGAAGCAAGATGAAATAAAATTAAATTATTGAAGGACTAAATATGTTATGACAATATTTGACAGAAAACGTATCCTACAAAATGATACGTTTCATACATGAAAAGGAACTCGAATTTCATTAGCGTTAATGTCCCGCACTTGCATAAAAATAAGGTAGCTCCTATCACGAAATTCACTGAGCCGTTTAATAAAATAGTTTTTTTTATTTGATAATATTCCTTTTTCAAAATTTTTCTATGAGTAGCTTGAGAGGTACTAAGGACAGATACTTATGTACGTGTGTAGATTACGCAGGAATCACTTTGAAAATTCTGACAATATGGTTAATCGATGAATAAATAAACAATAATTACCGTTTATATTTAATTCAATTGCATAAATTACCATAAAAATGCTTATAATCCAGCAATTTCTCGTCCTTAGACTTGAGGATCTTCATTTTATTCCTGCAGCGACCATATTTATTATGCCCTGGAAGGAGGGTCCTTACAAGAAAGGACGAGGACAAATGGTTCGACTCCGCTGATGTATCACGGCCTTATAAATATAAAAAAGTGGTAAGGCAGAGAGTTGAGAGTTGATAGGGCCCTGCGCTGAGTAATAGGCCGCCCCTTGTACTCTATCAATCTCAATTGTGATCTTCTCGTGGTCTTCTCTAATGTTCCTTCCTCCTTGCTTGATATAGTTGAGTTCAGCTGGGAAAACATCATTCCAATTATATATTTCGTTTATTCACAATTTATCAATGATAAATTTAAATGTTAACCTACTCAAACCCATCCGAACATACGCCTCTCTGATTTATGGTTCGGCAAAAAAGACGCACTTACAAAACCTACAGTCATTTCAATCCGAAATTTTACGACTTATAACAGGAGCTCCCTGATACGTAAACAACAAAACTTAACATAACGACTTACGACAGCCAACTATAGACCAACGCATATGTACTCTACTCTCGTTTTCATCTCAAACTACACGGACACACAAACAGATTTATAACCGACATGGCTACGACTGACATGCCCATCAGGAGGAGATTAAAAAGGAGCTGGATGAGAGATCTTCTCACCTAAATAAAAAATAAATAAATAATGACCAGGAAGAGGTGCTACTGGGTACTATCCTTCCTCATGTCTTTAATGTCTATCCTCATCATGAGAACACATCTGCTGATTGTCAACACCATGACAGGTGCGGATAAATAATTAAAGAGAAAAAAAAATGTTATTAAGTCGAAAATGTTACACATAAGACTATTATTTTTATACTCACTCATTTTAAAACGTTCAAAAACCTTAAAACGAATGAATAGCTGCGTAAGATTTGTTATTGGTGCCCAGAGGTATTCCCATGTCTCTCACCACTACACTCAGTTAAGGTGGCTCTTCTTCTCATTTCGAAGACAATATTTCCTAGGTACATTCCTCTATCAAATCATCAACAACCATCGACCTTCTTACGCCTACAGCCTTCTCCAATTCAAGTCCTCAGTCTATTCCCTTTCAACAAGATCTCAACTTCCAGACCTCTACATCCCTTCTCACAGATCTGCCTCATTTCAAAATTCCTTTATAGCTCGCGCTCACAATTTCTGGAATTTCCTACCTATGAAAATTCGGCATTCCCCTCCACATCCACATTCAAAACCCTCCTATTCCAACTCCTATCCCAAAAACAGTCAGATGCTTGCTTAAACTTTTGATATTATACATTTCTATTATATCATTCATCATTAAACGATAGTAATATTCTATAACTTCACTAGGTATATTACAATACCTTCCTGCTCTTAATGCCACTGAATGCATCTATTGTTTGTTTTTCATTATTTTTTATTCGTATATAATTAAATCTGAACCTAGAGCTAGAATTAGACAATGATGTGTCTACACATTATTCATTATTTTATTACTCTGACATTTTATATTCTCTGTTCTGTCTTTCCTTTGTTAGCAGAAACACAGCTCATTTTAAAGAAGAACTCAATGTATTTTTCATTATTTTATTTTTCAAAAGTTTATAATTATAATTTTTCCTACTGTACATAGTTTTAAGTGTTTTTATATAGATTTTTTTTTCTTATTTGTATATACCTTGTTTAACTTATATTTTCTTTACTTTATTTTTTTTTAGTGTTTTATTTTATCCAGATATAGTCTTTTAATTATGTTCTATGTTATTATTCTAAAGGGACTTAGTCGCAGAATAAGTTATTTTCTATTAGTATTATTAAAACACAAAATGAAACTTACATCTATCTATTGAATTCGAATTGGACCTACGCTTCACACACAAACCGGATAGCTAAAACGAACCGCATACAAAAACTACAAACTTTTAGTCAACAACTTTCAGAGCAATAGCCAGGGTGAACACACCAGTTATGGACAGGGTATCCAGTGAAGTGTTTCCCAAAATCGATCTTGGTCTTGCAAAGTGCAAGACCAAGACCAGGACTGGTAAAAAAAAATCGATTTTTTGAATAAGAACTGAGGAAAAACAGTTACTAATACTTGGCAATCTTATTTACTATTTGTAAATAATTGGTTTAACCGATATAATTTTGCACTTAACTCCTCTAATTTTTCATTTGGCCTTAGTTATGTTTCTCATATCTAAAAAATTACAGTAATATCTCTATAGTAATAAGCTAATAAGTAACTGCAAGACTGTTGCGAGACTCTTTCCCTAGACCAAGACCATGACCAAGACTGAGTTTGCAAGACCAAGACTCGTCTCGGTCTCGCATATGGTCAACACTAATTCAGTAATGGACAGGTTGGACTTTAAATGTAAATAATAAGCTTCCTTGTTGGTTTAAAGGTTCTATTGTTTTCTAGATTGAAGAACAATGCATGAATAATATTGACAAATGTATGGATAAAGTTTAAAAAAAAAATTAAAATGCATATCTCTGCTTTCTCTTATTTTTATGTCATTTTATTTAATTTAATATGAGAAGGAGTTGACGTTTCAACCCACTTTGTAGGTTTTAATTTATAGGTCTTTGGATAGGAGGTCTTTACAGGTATTTAATTTATTATATACACTTTTTAATTATCAGTTATTGTTATTTTTCTTCTATTTATTTTATATTTTTCTGTACAACTAGAGTAAATGATATTCTATCTCACTATAACTAATGTCCAAGAGACAGATTGTTGTAATACTCAATAAATAAATTTAAAAAAACAAAAGACCTGAAAAAGCTGGATAAGGGATCTCCTCACATAAGAAGTACACTTAAAGCAAGATAGTCGAGTAAAGATTATTTCAAGTTATAAAAGTTTATTTATTGTTCACGAATTTATAAAAAAGATTAATTTAGATGGCTTAAAGGAAGGTTGAGCAGTCAGGCTGCCTATAATCTGTTATGTCAAGAAGGAGATAGGAATCGAAACAGGAAGGGAGGAAAAGACGGAATAATTTAAAATATTCTCGGAATCCTATAAATTGAAGAAAGATCGTATAATATAATTTCCATTCCATCCGATCTCAGTATTATTTGAGAATAAAAATCCTTTTTTTTGTTGTTAATTTATTGACATTGTCTTATTCTTGTCTTGTTTTAAATTTAATTTTATCCTGTCAAGTAATGACTTTTTTCCTTACAATATTGAGTATTAAATAGAGTGAAAATCAGCTTTTACAGATTCGAAGGTTTTTCACGGCTCTACAGCACATCCCAATTGAATTAAAAAAACTCAGGTGTGTGCTTTAGACCACACGATAGAAGTGAAAACAGCAACAAGACGAGATTAATAATATGTAGCATAAATAATAAATAATAGCTCATTATAAAGAGGATGAAATGCTGAACATTTCCCAGTACTTCTAATAGCGGGTAGTCCGACTGCTATCTGCCAATGTGTATAACCTTAACACTGATAAGCTCTTCATATTCATATTTATTGTATTATTATATTAATTTGGTTGTCGATACTATTTTTTTTTCCGTTTTTTTCTCTCTAACACGAGGTCGCGTTAAGATACAATTTTGAATAATAACTCATTACTCATTACTCATACTCATTGGTGTCTGTAAGGTATAAAACGGAAAGATATCATGAAACGGGTTGATTTTATTCAATGTACAGACAAAAACTTTATTTTATTTATATAGATACTACACATGTAATATGTATGTATGTAGAATAGTTGAGAATGTTCTCGCTTCCTTCACATCCTGAGACCAGACTGACCATTGCAGAGGTAGACC